CCGTTGCCCCTCGGCGCCTGCTCCGGCGCGAGTGTGCCCGCGCTGACGTGCCTGCATCCCGGGGCTCCTTGCCCGTGTGCCCGTGTGCCCGGCCGACCCAGGGGAGGTCCCCTTCTCCGGGGCGGGCCACGCGTGCCGGCCCTGCGCGGCGGCCAATTGCCGGACTTGCAATGCGGAGCACTGTCTCCTGTGCACGGAGGACTTGCTGCTGGAGCCGACCGGCCCGGAGGGCCGGATCGTGTGCGTGCCCAGCTGCTCGGCCGGCTTCGTGCCGATGGCCGGGGCCTGCCGGCCGGCGGCCGCGCCTCCGGCCGGCATCGGGCTGTCGGTGCCGGCCGCGCGGCCGGCGCTCGGGCTGGACCCGGGCGACCGGGTGACCTCCATCGCGGAGAGCTGGCTGTCGGTGGACCCGGCCACCGGGAGCCTGGTCATCCCGTCGGCGGACACGGCCTCCGGGGCCAGCCAGCAGGTGCTGCTCTTCACGGCCGACCGACGGACCTTCCTCATGCCGACCGGGGACCTGGCCCGGCCGGGCGGGCCGCCCGCGCGGGAGGTGGTCCTCTTCGCGCCGGGGCTGGAGTCCCCGGTCAAGGCGTCGGCCGAGATCGGGCCCTTCCTCTATGAGGGGACGACGCGCTACCTGGTGGCCCTGTGCAATGAGGTGGGCCAGTCGAGGGTGATCATGCTCTCGTGCGTCGGGGTGGGGCCCTGCTCGGTTGACACCTCGAGGCTGGACAACCTGCCGACCGGGTCGTGTGCCGGGCTCCGGCGGGCGAGCCCCCGGATCGCGGTGCTGGCCATGTTCACCACCAGCCTGATGGCCGTGTGGGTGGAGGACCACTCGCCGGGGGCGCAGTTTGTCATCACCGAGGCCAATGGGATGGTGGGCTTCCCGGGGGCGCGGAGCGCCGGCAACCGGGCGGACCCCGGCCCCGGGGAGTGGCTCCTCTGGACCCGGGAGTCCTACAAGGCGACGGCCCTGCCGATGAGCCTGGCCGGCAGGGACTCGCGGGCCAACACCATGCTCGGGCACTTTGTGCCGAGCCTGCCGAGCCGGGCCAATGCCTTTGAGCCGGTGTTCCTGCCCCGGGGGGCGGAGGGCCTGGCCCCGGGGGAGTTGTTCCTCTCGCGGGTCACCAACCAGGAGTGGCTGGCCATCCGGGTGCCGGGGGACATGCTGCCGGCCGGCCGGTCCATCGACCTGGGCTCGGTGCAGCAGCGCCTGGGCACCCTGCCGCGGGCCGTGCAGCCGGTCCAGCACACCCTCATGAAGTGGGTGATGCAGGGGCTGGCCCTGCCGGCCGGCGACCCCCGGTACCCGAGCGTGCTGCTGCTGCTGACGCGGACCTTCATCGGCGCGTCGCTGATGCACTGCCCGGCCGGGGCCGCCGGGCCGTGCGTCCTCCTGCCGGCGGTCTTTGTGGATGTCCCGCCGGGGATGGAAATCCCCAGCACCTCGGGGCTGTGGCTGCCGGCCATCGGGCAGGCGCCCGAGCCGGCCGGCGCCGTGGCCCTCCAGGCGGCCACCCTGCAGCCGGGCAAGGCCCTGGAGCTGGTGCTCTTCGCGCCGGGCCCCGGCATGGTGGCCGTCTCGCTGGAGGTGCTGTGCCCGCCCGGCATGGGCGGCAGCATGTGCGACCCGTGCCATGGCACGTGCGCGGAGTGCCGGCGCGCGGGCGATCCGCTGGCGTGCACGGCCTGCCCGCAGGGCCGGCACCTGCACCGGGGCACGTGCGTCGACCGGTGCCCGGCCGGCACCTGGCCCGACGACGCGGCCCGGGCATGCGCTGCCTGTCCGGCCGGCTGCGCGGAGTGCTCGCCGGCCGGCCAGGCCGCGGCCTGCACCCGGTGCATGGACCGGCACTTCTTGTCCGGCGACGCCTCCTGCCGGGCGTGCGACGGGTCGTGCGCCGAGTGCCAGGCTGCCGGCAGCTGCTCGGCCTGCCAGCCGGGCATGGTGTTCCTCCTGCCGGATGAGCAGGCCAGCTCGCTGTGCGGGAGCACCTGCCTGCCGGGGCAGTATGTCGGGGCCGGCCGGTGCGCCGAGTGCGATGCCAGCTGCGAGCTGTGCACCGGCGAGCCCGGCCGGTGCCAGGTGTGTGCCGAGGGCTTCCGGTGGCTGGCGCGGCCGGCCCCGGGCGAGGCCGGGGCCTGTGTGCCCTGCGACCCGGGCTGCCTGGTCTGCATGGCGGATGGGTGTCTCGCCTGTGAGCAGCCGCTGCTGCTGACCCCGGGCGGGGGCTGCGCGGCCGACTGCCCGCCGGGGGCCTGGCCCAACGGCGAGTCGTGCCAGCCGTGCGACGTCAGCTGTGCGGCCTGTGCCGGCGGCCAGGCCGACCAGTGCACGGGCTGTGCCGCCGGGCTGGACCTGGTGGAGGCCGGCCCCGGCGTGGGCGCCTGTGTGTCCGGCTGCGC